CGCCACCCACGGATGCGGCCACCAGTCTTGGGGGAAAGGCCCTGCGCGTCCTCCCTGTGGAAGCCTCTCTGGCGCGCAGCTCACAGGCGGCGTGGGCAGGGCAGAGCCTCACATCTCCAGCGCGGGGAACACACACACGGTGTAAGCAGCCTCGAAAGGCACCCCTTCTGCAGTTCTAACTTGGCCCTTTGGTCAACGCCAGGATTCCGAAGAGTCCCTTGGAGATAAACAAGGTAGTTCCGCGAGCTCTCATCTCCGCGGCGCTGAGCCCGCCGACCCCCGCCAGCCGTGCGTGCTGGGGCCGGCCCTGCAGCACAGCCCTCGCCTGGGAACTCGCCCGCACGCTGGCGGCTCTCCAGGCCGGGCTTGCTGCGCTTCCAGCACGGACACGCACACCAGCCCTTTATTTGACGCCTTCTAGTCCACGAGCCATCCGGAAGCGAGCACTTCCTGGACAGCGATCAGCACGCATTGCGTAGCAGGCAGGACTTGGACCTGGCGAAAAGCGTAGGATTTGGGCTGGGTCGTTCTCTGAAACGAAAAGGGACATCCCTCAGCAGGACATCTCAGAAATCTGTGCCTGTCCCCGGGCCTGAGGTCGGCAGCACGGGAGGGCCGCAGGGACACAGCACCTGGCACCCGGCAGTACTGCAACACTTTTCTTCCCCGCTGGGAATCTGCAATCGGGAAAAAGAAAGCTGGAGAGCCACGGACGTCTGCCGTCCACCGGCGAGCTGCGCGGAGCACCTGCTCTGTAAAGCGCGGTTGCCCGGGTGACCACAGCACACGGCCAGCGAGCAGCAACGGCCCGGGGAACATGAGAAGGTGGCAAAGGCGCCCGACGATTTGAGGCCATTTTTGTGAAAGTAAAAAGTGAGCAGTGGCTATGTATGGCCATAAGACATGAGCATTTTTAACGATCGTTTTATGTGAATCATGGGTCATTTTCAATTTCTGCTCTATGATTTTCTGTAGTCTTAGCCTCTGTGCAGTCAGCATTTTCCTTTCTGTTTAGGACTAAGTGCAAGAGATGTATCTGTATTTACAAAAAAACCATATGAACGAACCCAAACAATTCCACTCCAGGCAAAAAAAAAAAAAAAAAAAGCAAATGCTCACTTGGCTTCCCAAGCCCTCGGGCGCGAGCTCCTCCATCCAGCGCTCCGCTCCTGAGAGCCGGGTGCGAGCGCTCAGTCCTGCAGCAGCCGCGCTCCCCTGGGCCCCTCCCCCAGCCCCTTAGCACAGCACTGCTGTGGGCGCCGCGCAGGGCCGCGCTCTGCCTCGCGCTGTCCCGCACCTACTCGGGCTGCATCACCTCCATCCGCCAGGCACCAGGCAGTCTTGAAGACTTCGGGACACAAACTGCAACGTGTTCCGGTGTCACAGTGCTGAGTAAGCAGAAGTCAAAACATGTTGGGCTGACTTCTTTTTTTCCCCAGAGTCAAGTTAAGCCTCGGCTAGGCGCTCCCTCCACATCCTGACCGAAGTACAACAACCCTACAGCAGGGCCAGCGCTGTGCTGGGCCTCTGGGAGAAGAGAGAACCCCACATACAAGTGGGCGTCTGCGGCAATGGTATAGCCTTCCAGCTGAATGACAGCGATGTTGTCACTGGCTTCTGCTCAACGTTTTTTGTATCATGATGAAAACCTGACAGTTTCTAGACAGTAAAAAGTAGAACCATCAATTCTAGTCTGTGGTATGGGAGATCACTGGAAATGGTTTTGCCGCTTTCAGCTGCGCCCCTGAGAGCACCCAAGTGCCACCTCTCCGCCGCAGGAAGTCAGGGGCTTTTCCTGTCACTCTTGCCAGTCTAATCTCAGTGGTTCCCCTAGCCCCAGACTTTTCCGAGAAAGTCTAGAACCCTCACTGAAGGAACGGAGGGGACACATTTCCAGCCACGGTGCAGGTCTGCGTGTCCTGAGAGTTGGGGGTGAGTCAGGGCTGCCAGCGGGGCAGGCTGCCTTCATTCACTTGGCAAATCCACTGTGTGGTGCTTCAAAATGCAACAAGACTACGTTGCTAAGGAAGTCAGCACGCGGACACTGGTGGCTAATATTTCAAAATATCGAGAACAGAAGGCACATAAATGTTCACTCCTGGTAGTACTTACTTAGCTGGCAAACACCTTAAAAATCACATATTTTTAATATTTTTTCTCTTTTGCTGAAGCAATGCTACATTCTACAACTTAGAAATAACCTAATTATACTTCTTTTTGAGATTCTGCATGAGAAAGTCAGAATATCTATGTCCTACCCATAATGACTAGGGAAAAATGTTTTTAAAAACACAGAAAGGTAAACTTTTATAGTTGGGACCTAAAAGCTAGGCGCATTACTTATATAGTCATTTAAAAGAATGTAAGAACTTAGCCAACGTTTTCTAAACTCCTAGGTTAAACGTGGTCACCACTAGGACACGTGACCTGTCCTGGAGTTACGCAAAGTGTACACTGGGAGGTGGCTGGGCCTGTCACATCTCCGAGGTGACAGATCAAAGGAACACAGACTGCAGAGAGGACGAAGCCCACTGCTACAAGGGCAAGTGACCGGCAGAGTAGAGGGTGGTGCAGATGGGGCTCAGAAGAGCCCACACAAGACTGGCGGGGTGTGGAGACCTCCAGCACCAGGAGTGCCTCCTGAGCTGACGGGGGTGCGCTCACTGCCGCGGCCCTTCTGGGCCCTTGCCCGACCCGGGGAGCGCAGGACGCCCCGGTGAGGATGTGCTCCTGGCCACGCTGCTCACTTTGAGGATGCCGCCTTGGCCTCGCACTTTTTCTTTTTCAATAATTTTAGTGAGAAACAAATAGCAATGACACAGTTTCAAATCTGATTAGGACAGCTTCAATAATTAATACGTTGCATATTGTTGTCTTAGTGGTTATTCATTGTACAAGATGCAGACATGATATCCTGTTTATAAACACTATTAGAACAGATCTTTCTATTCATTGAATTAAGAGAATGTAGCTGTATATCTATCCTGTTTTGAATATACAGATACAAAATGGTCTTGGCCTTGCACCTGAGAGTCACTGACACTATGTTAAAGGAGGGACCAGTGTATTTGTGATGAAGTTGGTATTTTCAGGATTTCAAAACAGAGCCAGATCACAGGCCACAAGTTAAATTAACATAACTCATTAAATTAACGTAATTCTGTGGCGGATCCTCATGGGGAAATATGAAACAGTGACAAGGTTCATATGGAGCAAGGACATTAATGACGCAGATTGGCAACCTGTGTGGGCATCTGGGACTCATCCCCCGGTTCTCACTCTGTGCCAGCACCCAGGCAGCCACATGTCCAGGGAGAATAGAGAAAGGTCACCCAGTCCTGGGGACAGGGCGGGGACATGGCGGTCAAGAGGCAGTCCAGGAGCTCGGGAGGTCTCCTAGGAGCACTATAGGGGTCAAGAAGGAAGGGCACCCTCCACACAAACACCCAAGCTGCCTGGGCACAATTTCCAAATGTGGGGTGTGGAGAAGTCTTACGGATCTCAGACATGGTATCCACAGGATCTCCACAGTTTGACATTTTCCCCTAGGACGATGACGCAGCTGCCACCACTTTCTTGTTTCATCTTTTGCTACTTGTTCCTACAGCACACACTGACAGGTCACTTGCCAAATCTCAGTGCCACAGCCCCCTTTTCATCTGTGTGTCTCTAAGCCAATCCCACCATGTCAGGGCAGCAGCTACCAGGCAGGAGGAGGGCCCAGCACTGACTCTGGCTGACACCAGGAACCACATCACACTACTGTTCCAGGCGATGGAGCCCGTTGTTTGCTCCTCAGCCTCCCCCTCCTTCTCGTCCTCCTCTCCTTCTTCCACTCTCCCACCTCTTTCATGACATGCTGTCTACATTTTGAGGATTTATCTCCCACTAACATTTGCCAAGAGTTTAATTCCTGTACATAGACATATCACCAGCTCCTAGGGATGTGAAAGGGCTTACTATTCTATCAAGAACAAATCTTTTAAAATGTTTAACAATTTATTTTAATAATATCAAAATGAAATGGGCAATAACAATTCACAATTTAAATACCCTTTTCACTTTTTACTGAACACACTTTGGCACCTTTCTTTTCTGTTCCAACCCATGATCCTCCATGTCTGGGCCAATCTCGCAAAGATGAACTCTGGGAGTCCACAGCAGCAGGTCCTTCAGAACCGTTGCTCTATGCTGAACAGCATGCTCTCTGCTCCAAGGAAATGGCTTGCCTAAGTAAAACCACACATACGGTGCTCAGCTCAGCTCGGGAACAACCCTTTAATTGGTGTTATCTCTATTTCAAGCCTGAAATGAAAGATTCCCAATGGAGGTAAAAGATTGCCAGATTTTTCTTATGCTTGCACTGTGCATACTGTGAATTTGTGTGCACATCACTTATGCAGCTCTTTATATAGAAAGGACCAAAGCTCAGTAAGACAGCTTCAGATTCATCCCTACTGGCATTACTCTTTAGCACCACAGAAAAGCGAGTGGCTACAAGAAAGCATCTCTGTACTTCTCTCCTTCAACTGCAAACACGTTTGAACAGGAACTGAAGGTCAAAGCTTACTTGGAATGCCAGCTACGTAGAGACAGGTGTCTATCTGGGCACTATTCTCTCCCATATTTGAGTTCTAGTCAGTTGAATCCGAATAGATTTGTTAAAGGATGCAGTTTGGGGACAGCAGGTCCTGATGAGGCTGACCCACCTCAGGCCCAGCCACACCTATGGCTCCTGAGTCCCCAGCAGGGGAAGGATGCCCATGGGTGTCTGGGTCCTGCCCATGCTCCCTGGCACCATGGAGGGAGCCTCTGCCAGGGCCGCAGACAGCACAGCACTGGGACAACCCTCACGCTTAGCTCTGCTCCTCATGCACCGGACGGCACCTGAAAACCAGCATCTGAGAGCCCCTCCGCGCCAAGTTCTCTGTACAGCCACCCCAGAACGTCTCTCCGACATACATTCATGTGTGTGTAGGACCGGAAGGCAGGTGACTCACCACGGCAGATTGGAGACAGACATGGCAGCGGCCTGGGGTGCTCTCGACCTCAGGACAGAAAATCAGTGGGTCCAGGTGACGAGACCACTGGCAAGCTCTGCTTTGCTACTGGAACAGTGCAGTCTACGAGGATCTAAACAAAAAAGGAACACAGTGATGTCTGTGGGCCATCGCACATGCATTTCAAGCAGATCAATAGCTGTGTTACAGTATAAGGTAGACCAAAGAAAATGTGATGGCTTTCCCTAAAATATGACACATCATGAATCCATGAAAAAAATCAAACCAGCTACATGACTACTTTATGACCTTACTTCAAAACCAATTCAAAGGTGTTTTTAACTGTTTATTCCCTGAAGGACAAGACCTGAGGATCAGTGTAACAGCAGAAGGTGCATATAAAACTACAAACACACCCAGTCACCTTATCTTTGACAAAGGGACCAACGTGTTTAAGTTCTTGAGCCCTGCCCAGCTACAGGGCCCTGGTGAGCCCTGCCCCACCTCATCGAGCTGTCAAGGGAGCCTTGCTGAGCTGTGACCCCACCCCCCACCATTGCAGGAGACGTGCACAGCTGAGGCTCACCCTGCCCTCACCTGGGTAGAAGCCACGCTAAACCCAGACCACAGGAGCTTTGGAGAGCATACTCCATCCCACGGCCACTGTCTTGGGAGCCTTACTGACCCACACTCTTTGCCGCTACCACCTCTATTAAGCCTGGGTGAACACAGGGAGCTTCAAAACTGTTGAAACAAAGAAGCAAAAGGCAATCTCAGTCCTCCAGCACAACCAGAACAAGTCCAGGAGACAAGGAAATAGAACTTGGAAGTCACATGCCTGCAATATCTGAAATGATAGCAACTGAAGTAATAATGGAAAGCCCATGAGAATCACAGCAGATTTCTCAACACCAACCAGCAAGTCATGAAGAACTTGGAGTAAAGTATTTTAGATTCTGAAAGAAAACAACTTTCGGGCCAGGGAGACGGCTGAGTGGAATAAGCACATCCCTGGCAAGGGCAAGGGCCTGAGTTCAATCCCTGGTTCTGAAAAAAAAAAAAAAAAAAAAGAAAGAAAGAAAGAAAGAAAGAAAGAAAGAAAACAACTTCCAACCCAGATTGATAAACTCTGCACAACTACTTATCAAATTTAATGGAGAAATAAGATACTTCCACAACAAAAAAACAACTGAAGAAATTTGTTACAAAGAGTACTGACAGATATTCTAGAAAGTGAAAAAATGACCACAACTTCAAAGTACTCCATCAGGAAATAGAAGAAATCAGATAAGAAATAATTTTTCAGGTAAAAAAAGAAAAAAGAAATGACAGCAATCATGAAAGAATTGCTCAGCACATCAAAAAAAAAAAGACATGGATAAAAATGTAAAGGAGAATAGAAAAATGATGGAATCATTGAATGAACAACACAAAGAAAGAACTGGAATACATGAAACAGATTCAAATAGCTATCCAGGAAATTAGGAACTCCACTGAAAGCTGGCAAAACCACTCGAACAAAACTGAAGTTAGAATTTTAGAACTTGGATATAGCATTGCAGCCAGTGATCATAGAAGGAAAGAGCTCTCTAAAATAACAAGGAACCAGGAAATAACAATTCAACAGCTGCAAGATGATGCAAAGAAAAAACATAACATTGGTAGGTTACAGTGAAAAGCAGGAATCAACACAAACATAAAAAAAAAAAAAACTACTTGCAGAAGTAGTAGCACAAAATTTCCCAAACATGGGGAAAGAATCTGCCATACACTTAAGTGAGGCATATAGAACTCTAATTAGCCATAATCAAAATAAATCTACACACAGATGCATAATAATCAAGATCCCAGAAATTCAGAAGAACAGAATATTTAAAGCTATTAGAAAAAACAAACAGATCACCTATAATAGATGATCACAGCATATTTCTCAACACCAACCATCAAATAATGAAAAACTTGGAGTGAAGTATTTTAGATTCTAAAAGAAAACAACTTCCAACCTAGATTGATGTATCCTGCAAAACTATCTATCAAATTTAATGGAGAAATAAGATACTTTCATGACAAAAAAACAACTGAAGAAATTCATTACAAAGAGTACTGACAGGTATTCTAGAAAGTGAAATAATGACCACGAACAAGAGGAAGGAACCACCAAGCAGAGCGAGCAATTAAACAGAGGAGAAAAGTAGAGAACCTACAACAGAAAATAACATGACAAAGATAAGCCAGTACATATCACTTATAATTATCAATGTAGATAGCCTCAATTCACCAACCAAAAGAAGCAAACTGGCAGAGTGGATCAAGAAACAAAATCCAACAATATGATGTATACAAGAAACACATTTAAGACAAAAGAAAATTCATAGATCGAGAGTCAAGGGATAGAAAACAATACTCCATGTGATAGGAACCCAGAGAAAAGCAGGGGTACCTGTTCTGGTCGCTGACAATGTGAACTTCAAACCAAGAATGATCAAAAGAGATAAACAAGGTTACTACATACTTGTTAAGGGAAAAACGCAAGAGGAAGAGGTAACAATCATAAATATATATGCACCCAAAATGGAAGCACTGAACTATACAAATTTTAATAGACGTGAAAAATTGAATGAGAAATAAAACAATTACAATGGGGTAGTTTAACACTCCATTGTCACAGAGATAGATTAACTAGGCAAAACTTAACAAAGAAATAATGGAATTAAACCAAACTTGTGAAGAAATGGACTTAGTAGGCCTTTATAGATTGTTCCACCCAACAACATCTGTGGGAGGCACAGTAACTCCACGCCTCCAACACTATTGCAAGTGAATCTTTTTCTAAATCCTGTGAATCTGCCATATTATGACTCCGTGCCATATAGCCCTTCATGGTTACCTGAGTGGCTCTGACCTGTAAAATTCTCCTGGTGCATCAGCCTCATTAGTGACGCAGTCTTCCTCCTCCCCTACCTCTGCTGAGCTAGGTTCCTAGTTCTCACCCCGCCTATTTCCCATGAGTCTCCTGCTGTGCCCAGGAGGCGGGACTTCCTGTCATAGCCCGGTTGCCTAGTTACTCGCGCCTTTTACCCGCCCACGTCATTTCCCTATGCCTCCACTATATACACCCAGCACCTCCCCTGAATAAAGAAGACTTGATCAGAATCCTGTCTTGTCTCCATTTCTCGCGTCTACTGTCTTTTGTCCCCTCTTCAATTCCCTGCTCCTCTCCCAGGTGACCTTCGTTGACTGACCCGCTGGTTCAGGACAAACATCAGAATACACATTCTTCTCAGCTTCACACAGGATATTCTCCAATATAAACCATATTCTAGCACATAGAACATGCTTATGTAAATTCAAAGGAATTGAAATTATCCCAGGAATATTATCTGATTATAATGCAATGGAAGTGGAAACAATAGAAGACCCTCCTGCAGCAGGGCCTCTCACCTCGACACCCTACCCCATGGTGCTTGCCTTTCGGGAGCAGCTCGTGCAGCCTCTTCCCTGAGTGTCGCCAGCTGCAGGGCCATCTCAGCTGCAGTGCTCTGACTGGATTTGAAACATCTGCTCATCTCAGTGACTTGACTTGGGGGAAATCGAGAAGTTACCGGAGGCCAGATCTGGATGGATGGGGACATGGCACAATGTCCTTACCAGCCTGCCTGTGTCTGCGATGGCACTCTGCGGCAGGAACCATGTATTTTGGGTCACAAATTTTAAAGACTCATGAAAAAGCACTTCCAGACGTGCTTCAGAAAGTGGCAAGAATAGCAAGCGTGCTCAAAGTGCGAGGGCAGCTGCTGGGGAGATCAGTGGCAGTACAGCTTCTACTGTGGTAAGTAATTTAAGCATTAACCATACTATTGATCACACCACATACTATGTGCCTTGACAGCTGGAGGAGAAAGATGCAGGATGATGGCGTAATGTGCTGGTCCCACCCTCAAAGGACCTGATGTAACGAGGGCCATCACCCCGAACTTAGCGTTGTAATGAAGAACTATGCAGGGACACGGGCCTGCAGACGAGGGACATGGAAGACGATGAACCACTAGGGACCTAGGAACCTAGATGGCACCACTGAGCTTAGCGACAAGGTTCCCAGAACCTCAATTTAAAGTTTCTTAGAAAAGACAGTTTCTTTTTCCCTTATAGAAATCAGTCTCATGGAGTCCACAGAGGATGGGCAACTCCATGACCGAGAGCCGAGGTTCTTTCTTCATGGGCTTCCTCCTCATGGTCCCCAAGGCTGCTGAGCTCCAGCCGGTGTGACTGCCTTCCAGCCAGCATGAAGAGGGAAGAAGCAAGAGGAAGGTCCTTGCTAACAGGTTCTGCTTGCATCTCATTGGCCAGAGCTTAGTTACTTCTCCACTCTTACTCAATGAAAGACTGGAAAATTCAGGAATTGTTCTAGGGAGCCACATCATAACTCCAGGGCTACGTGTCTGTCCGCCAAAGGGGACTGCCGGGTGTGGGGTGAGTTCTGCCGCTGTCGCCGCCAAGCTGAACCTCGGGATCTGGATGCCCACAGTGCTGCGGTTGTAGGTCGACAAGCACAGGGAAGGGAGAGGCGGGCCGGCCGGCTGCAGCAGCTCGGCCATGTTGCCTACACGCATTTGAATCATACCTTGAATTCTGTACCTCATGCACAGATCAAGAAAAAGTTCTGTGCCTCCTCATTTACCAGCTCCAAACCACATGTAAGGAAGTATTTGAATAGGAATAAATCACCGTCCAGGCCCGGCACGACGGCATAGCCTTTAACCTCAGCACGCTGCAAGGCCAAGGCAAGAGGGTGAGAAGTTTGAGCCCAGCCTGGGCAACTTATTGAGTCAGTGAGACGACATCACAAAAAGAAAAATTTAAAGGGGGCTGGGGATTTAGCTCTGTGCAAAGGCTCTGGGTTCAATTTGCAGTACTGAAATAAACAAAATAAAATCCTCACCGTCTCACATGTGGGCCACCCTGCTTACACACTGCCAAAGTCACTGGGTTTGTGCAAGCACTTGTCAGGCTTGCAGCTCACGGAGAAAAAGTGGTAACAACGCGTTCTTCCATTGACAGCTGTCGGCTGGCAGAACGATTCTGATCTGCCAATGAAGCCCGCAGCTCTGAAGGCACACACCCCAAGTCCTCTGC